GTTGGAATATGTGGCGTAATACGTTAAATCCCTGAAGAATTTTTAGGGTGCGTAGATAAGATTTGAGCATGGTAAGATAGGTTTGGATTGAGCGGGGCTTGGACCTCAGAAAACAACCATTCAAGGAATCACTGTGGCTTCTACTTCTTCTACCAGAATTTATATTTGTTTGCCATTGGTCACGATTGTCACTAGAGGGGGCTCTCAGATTCCTTTCACCAGAAACCCTTAAACTATCAGAGCACAAACTGTCATTTCACTTTTGTCCTTCTCTTGGAAAAGCCTGCGCTGCTATTGATGTAGGCTTGGGTTTTCCAGGAGGCCTATGGAGACTTTAGTTGCACAGCAAATCTATAGAGATGGAGTGCCTAATTACCTTAGCGGTGCATCTACACTGCAGTATTATTCCAGAATAACGGCCGTTATTCTGGAAAAACAGTAGTAGTGTTCACACGGTTATTGCAATATTTCGAAAGAAAATCAAGATCAAGATCAAAATCAAAATAAAAATGAGGGGCTCTTCAAGTGGCGCAGTGGATAAAGTACCTGCCATTGGAGCCATGGGTTGACGGGGTGAGCCCTGTGCTTGACCAACCTGGACTGGGTACCATTGGGACACAGGATGGATAAGGGGGTCTTGGAATGTAGCGATGCTGGGGACCTTCTCCAGTGGAACAGAGGATAAGGTATCTGCCTCTGAAGACACTGGTTGTGGGTTCCTTGACTGACCTGACACACTTGGGATGGATAAGGGGAGCACAGAGTGTAGGGAGGTTGTGCAGCTCCTGCAGTGAATCAGGTACCTGTCTTGGGAGCCACATGTTGAGGCTTCAAGCCCTGCCCTGGTACCCTTGGGATGCAGGACAGCTAAGGGGGCCCTGGGAGGTTAGGGAGCTGGAACAGTGGATAAGGGACTCACCTCTGGCACCAGAGGAAAATGGAGGAGGGATAGAATTGTCCTACTAAATCCAGGGTTGTGAGTTCAATTCTTGAGGAGGCCGATATGGGGCAAAGCTGTCAGAGATGGTACTTGGTCCTGCTGAGAGGGCAGGGGCCTGGACTTGATGACCTCTCATGGTCCCTTCCTGAAATAACTGAGGGCTTCTTCAATCTTTCAGAAGGTGTGTGTGGACACTCCACTGCTGCTATGTCAAAATAGCCCCTCCCTAAGGCCATTCTAATTTACCCCTCTGCAGTGTCTCCTGAGGCTCGAAATGGAGGTCGTGCCTCCACATTAGGGGAGCCGGCCTTGGACTAATTTTGAGGCTTCCCTGCAGTATGGATGCTCTATTTTGAAATAAGCTATTCTAGAAGATGTCTCCCGGAACAGCTTTTTCTGAAATAAGCCTGCAGTGTAGATGTACCCCACAACTACACTGAAAACTCAGCTTAGATTTCGACTAGTTGAGTGAGGCCAGTTCTTGACATTGAGGATGTGATTTTGCTGCAGTCATCACTGGGAGAAATACTTAGGAAAGGAAGACAGCCATGGTAGAAATGAGAGCTGGGGTTAACTCCTGGTGGGCCTGCACACCACCGTTTTTACCTCCACAGGTATGGAGAATGAGAGCTTCCATTGGCTGCACTTCTCCATTCTGGCTAATGGGAGCTGCGATTGTCCGTACCAGTGAAGGTGCTGGTAAATATGGTGACAGCGAACACCAGCTGCTAACCCTAGTGAACCACCGCCATTGCATTGTACATCCCTGGTCTATATGGTACTTGGTCCTGCTGTGAGGGCAGGGGACTGGACTCGATGACCTCTCAAGGTCCCTTCCCAATCTAGTATTCTATGATCTATGAAAGCTGTATTCTTCAGCCTTGAGACCTGCTCTGTTAATTGCAGAATGCAATCAATTCCCCTACGACAGTCATTTAGAATAATTGTCGTGAGCAGTCCCTGTGAGGAGTCATACATCAACATGAACCGAGGGGGTTATTTCTCCTACCGCATTGACAGGAACCCAGAGAAAGGGCAAAGTAGGTTTTCTGGAATGTGGTGTAGACAGATCCAACCAGCCTGACAATAACAAAAGACAGCGGAAGGAGGTTGGATCCTGGCTCACAATTCCCACAGCCGGCCGCCATCGGAACACTCGCTGCTTTCACGTGAACACGGGACTCAGGGCTTCACAGTTACGACTGAAGGTAGGAAGGACTGAAAATTCTCCCCCAATGTTTTATCAAAGGAAATGAGAAACATTTTCTGGGGAAACGGGCTGTTTGCCTCCTATGAGGAACCTGTGAAGGTTCTCCAGACACAGCGAGCTGTTCAATATTTTGTCACTCCCCTGTTCTGAACCCAGTGTGGCTTCCTGATACCATCAACCTCTTAGCCTCGAAACATCCACCATGGCTTGGCATACTCATGACAAACGCTTGCAATTAAGACTTTTTCTGCTGTCATTTGTAGATAAATGCCACCAAAGCAGTTTCCTAGGTGGAGCAAGTTTGTTACTGATCAATAACCCCCATGGAGTAGTTTTTAGGTTCCCAGAGCATCTAGGAAAGGGTTGGGGTTAAGAGTAGAATCATAGAATCATAGAGTTGGAAGAGACCTCAGGAAACATTGAGTCCAGCCCAGTGCCTAAAGCAGGACCAACCCCAATTCAATCATCCCAGCCAGGGCTTGGTCAAGCCAGCACTTAAACACCTGTAGGAGATTCCATCCCCTCCCTAGGAACCTATCCTAGCGCTTCCCCACCCTCCTACAGAGTTTTTCCTAATATCCAACCTAGACCTCCCCCACTGCAACTTGAGCCCATTGCTCCTCATTCTGCATCTGCCCCCACTGAGAACAGCCCCCTAGGAACCTATCCTAGCGCTTCCCCACCCTCCTACAGAGTTTTTCCTAATATCCAACCTAGACCTCCCCCACTGCAACTTGAGCCCATTGCTCCTCATTCTGCATCTGCCCCCACTGAGAACAGCCTCTCTCCATCCTCTGTGGAACCTCCCTTTAAGCAGTTGAAGGCTGCTCTCACATCAGAACTGGTTTGCCGATATGCTGTTATTAACTAAAAATCCCTAACCTCTATGGAACTGTGTTTCCTCCTCACATCATTCACAGTTCTGCCTCCACCCCATTAGCTGCTCGGACATCTTCCCGCCAGGTGTACCAAACTTCCCACTGGTGAGCGGACAATGAGAAGCCGCTATCTATATAACTTAGCTAATGTCCTTCTCCTGCCAAGCATGTAGGGCCATGCGTCTTTAGGCACCTCGTGAGGTTTTCAAGGGCACCCCCAAACCCAAACCTAACCAATTTCGATAACGGTCATAACTGCTATTGGCACCTGCCTGCAGTTTTAAGCCCTTGCGGCTTGGGGAAATCAGCCCTTAGTCACTGGCTTGCATCAGGGCTTCCCACTTCTGCCTTTGCGAGTCTACCTCCGACATTTTGCATTTCTCTGTTTACCTAGATGTCCCTGAGGCAGAAAGCAGAAGTGACCAATCGAACAGTCATCGGTGAATTCATCCTCTTGGGATTTGGGAATGATCCTGAACTGCAAACACTTCTCTTCCTGGTGTTTCTAGTCATCTACGTGGTGACCATGGTTGGGAACATCCTCCTCATGGTGCTAGTGGTGGCGGATCGGCGCCTCCACACCCCCATGTACTTCTTCCTGGGGAACTTGTCCTGCTTGGAGACCTGCTACAGCTCCGCCCTCCTGCCCCGGCTGCTGGCCAGTCTCCTGACGGGGGACAGGACCATTTCCGTTCCCGGCTGCATGATGCAGTTTTATTGTTTTGGATTATTGACCGGTACAGAGTGCTACCTCTTAGCAGCCATGTCTTACGACCGGTATCTAGCGATTTGTAAACCTCTGCGTTACGCAACACTGATGACTGACAGGTTCTGCCTCCGGTTCGCAGCCTGGTCCTGGATATTGGCATTTGTGGCGAGTACCTTGATTTTCAGTTGGATGTCCCAATCAGCATTCTGTGGCCACAAAGAAATCGATCATTTCTTCTGCGATTTCAACCCACTGATCCAACGTTCTTGTGATGACTCCAGCCTGATCACACGGCTGAGTATCATAATCACGTCCATCGTTGTTCCTTTCCCATTTCTACTGACCCTGATGTCCTACATTTGTATCATCACTACCATCCTGAAAATCCCTTCATACACCGGGAGGAAAAGGGCCTTTTCCACCTGCTCCTCCCACCTCATTGTGGTGACCATTTTCTATTCGACCCTCACTGTTGTCTATATTTTACCAGAGGACCACATGCTGCAGGACCTCAATAAAGTTCTCTCTCTCTTCTACACAGTTCTCACTCCCCTGGCCAATCCACTCATCTACAGCCTGAGAAACAAAGAGGTCACGGAAGCACTGAGAAAGATCCTCCATGGATTCATGGTGCTCATGGGAATTCAGAAGTCATGACCGGTCTGGCTGAAATAGCAACGGTGATCTATAGGTCATGGGGAATGTGAGTGCACACTAAGTTTTGGGGTGGCTACTTTCCCATTAAATATCACGGCTCTTATTGGCTAAAGACCCAACAAATACCACTGACAGAATCTGAATCAGATGCAGCAATCTGCCGGGTTGCTAGCTAGCCCTGACAGGAATCTTTCGCTAAATTAACTTCAAACTTATTTTCCCATTAAATATCACGGCTCTTATTGGCTACTGCCCAGATGGCAAACATAACTGTCATGTGCTCTGTGCCCCACACAGCGAAGTTCTGGATTCTGGTTACGTATTTCATCTGTTTTTCTGCTCTAGCAGTGTTGGGAAAACACATTTTGTAGAGTTTTGGTTTTGGATTCCTGTAGGGAGCTTGTTACAATAGTTGGTCTTCCCTTTGTATCCTGGATTCCTAAATGCCCTCTCATTTTAGATCTGGGAACACTGTATTTTCTCACTCTGTGCTCTTTTTGTGACGATTAGAAAGTTTGAGAAGTCACCGAATGGATTCTTAGGTATCAACAAATAATCAACAAGTGTTATAATTGATTTTTGTTAAAGCTTCTCTTTCTAACAGCAACAAGATGACATTGTTACGTTAAAAAAACAGGCATGCAGAAAATATTACTCAATTCCGTGTTTGTGAAATACCAAGATCTGTTCTTTGGAAGCACATTGGGTAAAATTATCGAAGTGCCTAAATGACTTAGCAACAGAAATCCCATGGACTTGCAGTGAAGCATAGATTTCCAAGGCCCTAGTTCACTTTTGAACTGAGTCGCTCAAGGTCTTGTCTACACTATGGAGAAGACCGACCCTCTGGAAGTCGATCTTCTAGTATTCAATATAGCGGGTCTAGTGAAGACCCACAAACTTGAACTGAAAGGGCACTTCTTTTGGCACGAGTAGTCCTGTTCCTCATGAGGAATAAGGGAAGTGGACGGGAGTGTTTTCCCCCGTCAACCTCCCGCTGTGTGGACAGTGCAAAAATGCGATTTAAGATACTTCGACTCCAGTTATGCAATTAACATACCTGGAGTTGTATATTGTAAGTCGACTTTCCCCTGTAGTGTAGAGCAAGCCTCAGAGGTTTTGCAAATTCTACCCATTGTGGAGACCGTGTGCCCTAGCCTCCCATTCAAGGAAACATACAGGATCTGATTCAAGGAATGAGAACAGAGGAAGCCAGACATGGCAAAGAGCACACTGTAATTCGGTTCACCCTGCTGGGGGAAAGTCAGGTTCCAAAAGCGATTGTTTGGGGTAGGGGGAGCTGAATGTTAGCTGCTAGCGGCAAAACCCAGCCACTGTATTATTCAACCGTCATGAATGAGTACTGGGTAAAGTGCCTTTCTCACGACAGGATAGACCTTCTTCATCTAGCACGCTCAGGACCTGACCAGTCGCAAAGGAGGGAGTTTGCCAGACCAGGGGAGGTCAATTATGCCCCCCTGTGCATGGGCCCTGGGCTCTTCCTGGTCCATCAGCAGGCTGGGCTGGGCAGGGCACCCTCGCCACTGCCAAACACAGCCAGCCTCACCACCATGGCTCCTCTGCCCCAGGACCACTGGGGCTCTGCTCCTAGTGTCTGCTCTGTGTCTCGGGGCTGCTGTGACCAGTCCCGTGGGCCCCGGCTCTATAGTCCAGGAGCTCTCTGGCCTAGCAATCTCCGTGGTCATGCCGGACCAGAGAGTCCTGAAGAAGAGAGTTTCCACCTGTGTTACCACGGTAACGTTTTCACCCCGGTGATGAATCTACCCTGCGGTGGCCTCCCTTGGGTGACTGGTGACTTTCAGTTTCTCTTCCATAGAGGCCCTGATCCAATTCTACGGACCCTGCTCACCGCCGTCCTAAGAATCCCTTGTCCGACCACAGGCAAAAGGCATTTTCCACTTGTTCCTCTCACCTCATGGTGGTGACTCATTTTCTGGGGGGCCTGGCAGCTGGTTTTCTGCCAAACACTGTTGGGAGCCAAGAGACCTGGCCAATGAGTTCTCCACCTTCCGGGCTCCCCCCCATGCTCAATCCCTTCCGGGAGGCAACGGACAGTAGGAGAAAAAGCCAACAGGGAATCTGTGGACAACAGCAAAATTCAGGCCAGCTCGAGAAAATAGAACAGTGCATGGCTGTTCACAGGGAAAGCAGATGGTAGAACGAGGAGCAATGGGCTCATGTTTTAGTGGGGGAGGTCTATGTTGCATGTGAGGAAAAACTATTTCCCTAGGAGGGTGGGGAAGCACTGGGATGGGTTCCCTAGGGAAGGGGGTGGAATCTCTATCCCTTGTCCCAGCTTGACCAAGCTCTGGCTGGGATGTTGAGTTGGGGCTGGTCCTGCTTTGGGTAGAGGATTGGACTCGATGACTCCTGAGGGCTCTTCTAGTCCTGGGATTCTAAGGAGAAGATAAGGTCACCCCTTGGGTACAGCTGAGTCTAGTGACCTCGACTTGGACTTTCAGAGGCCTAAGTGAGGGTTAGAAAGATGATGGTTTTTTTTGTGGGTGAGAACAAAGTTACATAGGTCTGCTATCAGGCTGGCAGTGGTGTCCTCTGGGATAGTGTTTCTAATTGCTTGTAATCCGTCTTCATGTGGGATGTTGGTGTATAGAGCTTCTACATCCATGGTGGCAAGGATGGTGTTATTGGAGAGGTTATCGATGTTTTGTAGTGAGGGAGACGTTCAACTGCCACTGGACTTCACTGAAGGGTTTTGTAAAGCAGCTCAGTGATTTAATTGTATGAACAGAGGGTATGTCTACGCTACAAAGTTAATTCGAGCTAATTGCCGTTAGTTTGAATTAACTTTCATAGCGTCTATACATGCAAACCGCTAGTTCGAAGTTAATTTGAACTAGCAGAGCGCTTAATTCGAACAAGGTAAACGCATTCTACAAGGACTAACGCCTAGTTTGAATTAAGTAGTTCGAATTAACGGCTGTGTAGCCACTTAATTCGAACTAGTGGGAGGCTAGCCCTCCCCAGCTTGCCCTGGTGGCCACTCTGGGCCAAGCCAGGGAAACTCTTCTGCCCCCCTCCCGGCCCCGGAGCCTGCCCGGGGCCACAAGAGGCGGGAGCCCGCCTGGTCTAGTGCGGAGATCGTAGACCTCATCGAGGTGTGGGGGGAGGCCTCCAACGTCTACTCGAGGGCAGGATAGCTGCCAGCCTGGCCACCAAAGGCCACATGCGAACCCAGGAGCAGGTTTGCATGAAAATCAAGTAGGTCCAGTGAGACCCCCGACCCTGAGCCCTGAGCTTAGAACATAAGAACATAAAAACGGCTGTACTGGGCCAGACCAAAGGTCCATCTAGACCAGTAGCCTGTCTGCCGACAGCGGCCAACACCAGCTACCCCAGACGGGATGGATGGAAGACAATGACCAAGCGATTTGTCTCATGCCATCCTTCTTCAGCCTCTGAAAAACAGAGACGAGGGACACCATTCCTACCCCCTACCTAATAGCACTCCATGGACCTAACCTACAGGCTCCTGTGGCAAGGAGTTCCATAGGTTGACTATGTGCTGTGTGAAGGACTTTCGCTTATTAGTTTTAAACCTACTGCCCATTAATTTCATTTGGTGTCCTCTAGTCCTACTATTATGGAGAACTTTTCTTTATGCACCCTCTCCACACCACTCATGCTTTTATAGGCCTCTATCATATCCCCCCTCAGTCTCCTCTTTTCTAAGCTGAAAAGTCCCAGTCTCTTTAGCCTCTCTTCATATGGGACCTGTTCCAAACCCCTAATCATTGTAGTTGCCCTTCTCTGAACCGTTTCCAAGGCCAAAATATCTTTTTTGAGGTGAGGAGACCACATCTGTACACAGTACTGAAGATATGGCATACCATAGTTTGAAACTTCCCCTCCTCCTTCTTCCCCTGGCTTCCCACTTCCAGCTCCCTCCTCCCAGGTTTCCCCCTCCCCTCTCCCTCTCTCTTCCCCTCTCCCACCTCCTTTTCCCAGTCTCCTCAGAGGTTAATCCCCCCCCCCCAGTTTTGTTAAATAAAGAGAGTTTCTATTTTTGAACACACGTGTCCTTTATTTTGTACGTCAGGAAGGGGGCTGGGGAGGGGTAAGTGGAAGGAGGTGAAGGAGGAATGGGGCACGAGCCCCCGATGGGGAAGACTGGGGTGGCTCTGCGGGCTCCTCGGGGTGGAAGCTCTCCTGCAGGGCCTCCTGGATCTGGACAGCCCCCTGACTGACCCCCCCGGATGGCAGCTTGTGGCAAGTGCAGCCGGGCTGATGGCCGAGTGTTGTGATGTGCCGAGTGTGGGCACTCAGGGCACTCAAAGACAGGACTACTTTGCTGTCCTTCATTGAGTTAGACAAGCAAGCAGGGAACCCTGAGATCTGTCTATCCGGGGTGGGGGTCGGGTCCCTTTAAGCACAGCCCAAATGAAGCCCGGGAAATTCAAATCCCGGGCTTCATTTGCAAGTGTGGTATGCCTACATTACCCCGCTAGTTCGAACTAGCGGGATAGTGTAGACATACCCTGGGTTAGATTTAAAGGGGTAAAAAACCAAGGGTGATGTCATAGAATCATAGAACACTAGGACTGGAAGGGACCTTGAGAGATCATCAAGTCCAGTCCCCTGCCCCCATGTCAGGACCAAATACTGTCTAGACCATCCCTGATAGACATTTATCTAACCTACTCTTAAATATCTCCAGAGATGGGGATTCCACAACCTCCTTGGACAATTTATTCCAGTGTTTCACCACCCTGACAGTTAGAAACTTTTTCCTAATGTCCAACCTAAACCTCCCTTGCTGCAGTTTAAGTCCATTGCTGCTTGCTCTATCGTCAGAGGCCAGAAAGAACAAGTTTTCTTTCTCCTCCTTATGACACCCTTTTAGATACTTGAAAACTGCTATCATGTCCCCTCTCAATCTTCTATTTTCCAAACTAGACAAGCCCACTTCTTTCAGGGTATGTCTACATTAGCTCGTTAGTTCGAGCTAGGTAGGCAAATGAGGGCAACCGGAGCTGCAAATGAAGCCCGTGATTTAAATATCCCATGCTTCATTTCCATGTTTCCAGGTGCTGCCATTTTTAAATCCCCCTTAGTGCAAACTAACTGCCCACAGCTAGACGCAGCAGTTGAAAGTTAACTCCTTAGATTGAATTGTTACTCCTCATGGAATGTAGAGCAGCAGATGACAGATGGCCAGGTTATCAGACGTACGCCATAAGGGCCAGCAAGAGTGAAAACTAAAGAGAGAAAGACTTGGGTCCAGAGTTTCCTCTAGGGGGCGCACTTGCATGGGTTTGAAGAAAGTCCTGCTCACCTCATTAGCATAGCTGTGCAGCAGCGAGCAAGCTGGGGGTGGAAGGATTTGTGGGGGGAGCGCGGCTGCTTAAAAAAAAGGTCTACACCGCAATGCTATTTCAGGATGCCTATGGTTTCCCGAAATAACTACCTCACGTTTTTTCAATGCATCTGCTATTTCAAAATATATCAGACGTGCTATTTTGCCATCTGTAGAAAGCTCATTCTACGTGGAGTAAGGGATGGCTCAAAATAGATGCACCCTATGTCAGTGTAGATGCACCCTGGATGTGCCGCATTTCCAGAAAAACTTGCCAGCTGTCTACACTGGCCACTTGAATTTCTGCAAAAGCACTGACTTCCTACTGTAAGAAATCAGTGCTTTTTGCAGAAATACTATGCTGCTCCCGTTTGGAAAAAAGTCCCTTTTGCGCAAAACTTTTGCGCAAAAGGGCCAGTGTAGACAGCTCAGATTCGTTTTACTTTTGCAGAAAAGCGTCCGTGCCGATCTAGATGCTCTTTTCCGAAAATGCTTTTAACGGAAAACATTTCCGTTAAAAGCATTTCCGGAAAATCATGCCAGTCTAGATGTAGCCCTTATGCCTGCAGACAAGAAGAATGAGGGTGAATTGGGTAGCAGCCTTCAACTTCCTGAAAGAAGGTTCCAAAGACGGAGGCAGTTCCAAAGATGGAGGCTGTTCTCAGTGGGGGCAGACGGCAGAACGAGGAGCAATGGTCTCAAGTTGCAGTGGGGGAGGTCTAAGTTGGACATTAGGAAAATCTATTTCGCTGGGAGGGTGGGGAAGTGCTCGGATGGGTTCCCTAGGGAGAGGGTGGAATCTCCATCCCTAGAGGTGTGTAAGTCCCAGCTTGACCAAGCCCTGGCTGGGATGATTGAGTTGGGTTGGTCCTGCTTTGGGCAGGGGGCTGGACTCGATGACTCCTGAGGTCTCTTCCCACCCAGGGATTCTATGAGGATATGGCTTCGTATGGTCCTATCCCACAGAGTTACACAACCAAATAACAAATCAATAGCCGAGAGGAGCACAGCACAGTTAATACCACCAAAAGGAGAAGACCCTCCCCCCCACCTCAAGGGTTCATGAAATCCACTAGGGACTTTGGTCTATTGGTTTTAGGTGTAAGTTGCTGAGATACAACAGGAATGTGTGTGGCAGTAGAAAAACATAAAATAGATCGAGGAATGGAGTCTGATCGTATTTTCACCGTAGAACTACAGTCACTCCACTGACTTGCGTGTCCGTATTTTTGCCAATGCAAGGGCTCCTTTTGCCTGGAAAGAGATGGTGAAGCACGTTCTCGAGTTGACGCAGAAACACGGAATGAAATCACAGTCAGGAAGTGATGGGATTTTGACTCTTAGGGGCCAGCCTCCACCCCACCAGTTTCCTCAGGGCCGCTTCGATCTCCTTGCTCCTCATGCTGTAGATGACCGGATTCATCACTGGGGGAAGGATGGAGTAGAAAACAGCCACCACCAGATCCAGCCCCGGGGCTGAGCTAGAGGTGGGTTTCAGGTAGGCAAAGGTGCCAGTGGAAATAAACAAGGAGACCACGGCGAGGTGTGGGAAGCAGGTGGAGAAGGCTTTGTGCCGGCCCTGCTCCGAGGGGATTCTCAGCACCGCTCTGAAGATCTGAATGTACGACACAATTATTAACACAAAGCAGCTTAAGACTAAGCAGGCACTAAATAGAAGCAGGCCATTTTCATTGGGGTAGGAAGCAGGGCAGGCTAGCTTTAGGAGATGGGGAACTTCACAGAAGAACTGATCCACTCTGTTGCCTTTGCAGAAGGAGACAGCCAGCGTGCTACCCGTGTGCAGGGCAGAATTGAGAATACCAGTCATCCAGGCACTGGCCACCATGTGGACACAGCATCTCCTGGTCATCACTCTCCGATAGTGCAGCGGCTGGCAGATGGCGACGTAGCGGTCGTAGGCCATGACGGTGAGAAGGAAAAAATCTCCTCCGATGAAGAAGAGCAGGAAAAAGACTTGGGTGAAGCATCCAGAATAAGAAATCGAGCTGGTGCCCAGGAGGGAGTTGGCCATGGACTTGGGGACGGTGACGGAGATGAATCCGAGGTCCAGGATGGACAGGTTTCCCAGGAAGAAGTACATGGGGGTGTGCAGATGGTGGTCGAGGGCTACAGCTGAGATGATGAGAAGGTTCCCCACCAGAGCCGCCAGGTACATGACTAGAAACACCACAAAGTGCAAAACCTGCAGCTCCCGAATGTCCGAGAAACTCCAGAGCAGGAACTCGGTCACGGTGCTTTGATTGGACATTTTCTTCCCCTGCCCGATGTCTCTGACCTGTGGAGGGAAGGAGAAGGGCAGTGTCAGAGGGGACTGTCCCGATTCCCTTCATGATAATACCCCCCGACGGGAATATGCCAAAGGCGGCCAGTGCTCGCCACTTCCATGGGGCTGGCCGGGTGGGAGCGTCTCACCGCCGACCATGAGACTACTAGTCCTGTGCGTTATCCCACCAATATCCATCAACACACGTCTCTGAAGCCAGGAGGCTGCTTACTTGACGCCATCTGAACATCTGAGCCAAGAGTGGGCTCCATCAAATTGAATTAGCCACTGGAGCCGAGAACACGACAAACCCAACAGGCCCAGCAAAGGAGATTCCTCTCTGGTGACCAGCATCAGCCTCCCAGCCTGGGCATATAACTGAGATTCTGGACCATCAGCCCAGCCCCATAACCGTTTTTCAGGGAAATGCAGCTTGGACTCACTAAGCACTGAACACGGTGGCTCAGTGCCCCAGAGACAGTCTTGTTCTCTGGTCACACATTGATAGAACAGAAGAACATAAGAACGGCTACAATGTCAGACCAAATGTCCATGTAGCCCAGTGTCCTGTCGGCCCACAGTGGCCAATGCCAGATGCTCCAGAGGGAGGGATCACAACATAGAATCCACACGTGATCCCTCCCCTTTCAGCCATTTCCAGATAAACAGAAGCTAGGGACCCCATTCCTACCCATCCTGCCTAATCACCATTGATGGACCTAACCTCCATGAATCTATCTAGCTCTTTTTTGAGTCCTGTTCAAGTCCTAGTCTTCACCGCATCCTCTGGCAAGGAGTTCCACAGGTTGACTATGCACTGAGTGAAGAAAAACTTCCTTGTGTTTGTTTGAAGCCTGCTGCCTATTCATTTCCTTTGGTGACCCCTAGTTCTTATATATCCTATGCTGACACAACTGTGGGAGGGCGGGTTAGAAGCCTTGGTCCTTCACTGCTGTGTTGTGAGAATTTTCTCTGTGACTTTAGGTCTGTGTTGTGTGGGTCAGACACAGTCAGGAGACATGGGTTCTATCTTGTCCTTGCCACTGAGCTACTGCATGACCTTAGGTCATTCCCTTCCCTTCCTGCTGCCTTTGTTTCCCCTCCCTTCCTTTCTCCAGGCTAGGGTAATCAGATCTGTAGGAGATGAGCTGCATCTTATTCTATGTATGCTCAGTGCACCGATTTATGGCAGTAGACAAAGAGAACTGGGCTGTGTCTAGACAGGTCAGTTTCTCCGGAAAATCAGCTGCTTTTCCGGAATAACTTGCCAGCTGTCTACACTGGCCACTTGAATTTCCGGAAAAGCACTGACGATCTAATGTATAATCATCAGTACTTTTCGGAAAAACTGTGCTGTTTGGCTGTGTCTACACTGGCCACTTATTCCAGAAAATCAGCCGCTTTTCCAGAATAACTTGCCAGCTGTCGACACTGGCCCCTTGAATTTCCGGAAAAGCACTGACGATCTAATGTAAAATCATCAGTGCTTTTCCGGAAAAACTATGCTGCTCCCGTTTGGGCAAAAGTCCTTTTCTGGAAAACTGTTCTGGAAAAGGGCCAGTGTAGACAGCACAGATTTCTTTTCTGCAAAAAAGCCCCGATTGTGAAAATGACGATTGGGGCTTTTTGCAGAAAAGCGCGTCTACATGGGCACGGACGCTTTTCCAGAAAAAGTGCTTTTGTGGAAAAGCATCCTGCCAATGTAGATGCGCTTTTTCCGGAAATACTTATAATGGAAAACTGTTCCGTTTTAAGTATTTCAGGAAAAGGGTGCCAGTGTAGACGTAGCCCTGGGGTTTAGTCCAGTCTGTAAAAACCATGTCATCCATGTCCACTTGGCCTCCATGTCAGGATAAACAGGGTCGGCTTCTGGGCTCATTTCCGAACCCAAGTTTAAAGGTCCGAGTCTGTAAAAACCATGTTCTGTTGGTAGCAGCTTTGCCATTTACTCAGTTTCAAGTTCCTTTGAATCAGAAATCCAAACTGGTGCAATAGAAAGAAAAGGTTTCAAGGTCCTATATCAGCCGAAAACAGCTAAGTTCCCCACGCATGTTTAAAGTGCACCTCTACTTGGGAATTTTCTGTTCTTGGGTTGGTTTTTTGGATGGAAAACGAATTGTTTAGCAAAACAATATTTATTTCTCACACTCTGACTGTTTACCTAGACATGCTGGGAGGTTTCACTGAAAAGCTAAAACCTTGAAAAGCAACCTTGTTTGTGGTTTTCAACTTACACTTGATACTATTCCTCTCTGACCCTAACCCTAACCCTAACAACAAAGAAACCCAAAAAACTAGGTTTGAGGTTTTTGATGAAATATTGAAATTGGCCACAATGGGATTTTATTTCTGATGATCTTTAGTTGTAATTGAATGGTTAAATCCTTAATGATTTCGGATACAACAATGCTGGTCATAGATTCCTAGGGCTGGGAGAGACCTCGGGAGTTATCGAGTCCAGCCCCCTGCCCAAGGCAGGACCAACCCCAACTCAGTAATCCCAGCCAGGGCTTGGTGAAGCCAGGACTTGTTCTAATCTCCAACCTAGACCTCCCCCACTGCAACTTGAGACCATTGCTCCTCGTTCTGCCACCTGAACCACTGAGAACAGCCTCTCTCCATCCTCTTTGGAACCTTCCTTCAGCCTCTCCTCGTAGGTCATGTGCTCCAGCCCCCGAATCATTTTGGTCACTCTCCGCTGGACCCTCTTCAGGCTGAATAAAGGGAAATAATAACGTCTCTGAATTTGCTGGCATGTTTGTACATTTTCCTTGTATGTTAATCCCTGAATATAATTAATTGAAATAGTAAACTTACTCTGGATTTTTTCCCAGCTGCAGAATACAATAATCACTTTTCCAGATCTGCTGGCATGTTCTTACATTTCCCTTATATGTTAAACCCTGAATATAATTAATTGAAATAGTAAACTTACTGTACTGACCTTGTGGATTTCTTCTCAGTTGCAGGATACGTCAGTATCTATGGATTGATCCCAATACAATCTATCTATCTATCTATCTATCTATCTATCTATCTATCTATCTATCTATCTATCTATCTATCTATCTATCTATCTATCTATCTATCTATCTGCCAAAGACACAGGGATATGAGTCTTTTGATCCCTCACGTGGAGACTGACCTCACATCCAGACTCGACCCGGTCGCTCTCTGCAGCACCTCACGTGGAGACTGACCTCACATCCATCCGTTGCTCTCTACAGCGGGGTCGTGTGGGGCTGGCTCGTGGTGCCGCTGGCAGTGTAGGACTGCTGCTGTGGGAAGGCAGTTTATCCGCGATTTTCCTGTGGGCTTGTGGGTCTCCCTCCCGGGAGCCGTACATAGCTCAGACACAAAAGCCCAGAAGCAGAAGTTAGAGGGTTTGTCATATTCAGGTCAAAGCGAGACACTCTCGTCCGCTTGCCTGGGACTTACGCAGCCTGGACCCTCGGATCCCCCCCGGGCTTCCTGCCCCCAGGCTGTTTATTGTGGGACTGGATTTACCATGGGATGGGAGCCCCTAGAGATGGAGACAGGCGTCTAATGGGTCTTATCCAAGCACCGAAATCAGAGGGGTAGCTAAACCCCTGGGACAGTCAACCGAAGTCAGGCACAATCGTCCCACCTCCCTCCCCCAGTGGACACCCTTTGACTGGGGAGCGGAGAGGATTGGGGGGCCCTGCTTCCCCCTCCAGTCTGTGGGCACCTGACTGCTCCTATGGGGAGGGGAGGAAGTGGTCTGCTGCCTCTTCTAGCCCCATGGCACTGCCCCAGACTCTCTTTGTGGGCCCCTCCCCCTCCACACCAACTCTGCCTAGGGCACACGGTCCAGGGGGGCACAGCCCCATGCCTGGCCCCGGAGGGTCTGAGCCCAGCCCTGAGAGGTGGGAAGTTAGGTGCCCCAGGAAAAGGGTGGGGCTGGCTGAAGAGAGGGCTGGGCCAAGTGTGTGGGGGGAGTGAAGGTGCTGGCCCATGGGTAAGTGAGGAGGGGTTCTAGGCCAGAGTGTGAAAGAATTAGAAAAGCAAATCCAAAGGAAAAAGCACCACAAATGATCTCTAAGAGCGAACCCCGGCTGGGTGCGAATCCATGGGACCAGTGCGCCCACTTGCCCAGGCCTGGGGCTGGACTTGGTGGCCTCCTGAGGTCCTATGTGACACGGATAACAAGAGAGAAACTTCAGAGACGGCAGCCAGCTGCGGGTTCTGACCCCGATACGCTGCACAGAGAGGGGCCTGTTTAGTTTCTCCCAAGTATATATTGTGATGTAAAAATTAGAGCATGGAATTACTATCCACAGAGATTCTATGGGACAGTTTGGTTCAATTAAGAATAGTGATAGAAATGTAGCCGTGTTAGTCTGGGGTAGCTGAAGCAAAATACAGAACTATGCAGCACTTTAAAGACTAACAAGATGGTTTATTAGGTGATGAGCTTTCGTGGGCCAGACCCACTTCCTCGGATCAAATAGTGGAAGAAAATTGTCACAGCCATATATACCAAAGGATACAATTAAAAAAAAAGAGAACACATATGAAAAGGACAAATCACATTTCAGAACAGAAGCTCTCTTTTTTTAATTGTGGGTCTGGCCCACGAAAGCTCATCATCTAATAAACCATCTTGTTCGTCTTTAAAGTGCTACATTGTCCTGTATTTTGGTTCAATTAAGGTTTTTACTTCATTGATCCAGCAAGGGACCATAGCTACGCCACCTCAGGAAATGCATGAAAATTCTCTCTGCCCCTTCTCCCCCTGTACCCGATTACCTCTCGTCACTTTGAAAACCTCACAATTAAAGGCCAGATTTTCAAAGGTATCCCGGCAGGATGAATTAGTTGATCACCATTTGGTTCCCACTTTCTGTGTCTGCCATGATCTGAGACAAGGAACAAATTACACTGGAATCAGAACATAAAACTAACTTAATCAAGAACTGTTTATCACCTCCTCCCCCTCACCTGGTTATCAGCGCTAAATTGAGGGCTAAAGTTCAGCCTTGGGCAAGCATCTGAAATTCCTTCAGCCCTCACCATGCCAGCATCTCAGGCCAATAACAATGACAACAGCTGCCCACTTCTGTACCAACCCAATCATGGCACGAGGGATCCAAAACCTTGCTCCTCTACTCTCATCCCATCTAGTGCCCAGGTGGAGCAGAAACATGCTGTTAAATTGCTACATTGTACCTTTGACTATGGCCAAGAACATCAGGTCTTGGGAGAGTAAAGAGTTCTTTGCGCTTTCATTGAATGTTAGGTTGTTAGTCTCTCAAACATCCCCCATCATGATTGAGACTATTAGCATGAGAAGTCAACTTGTGGATAAATTATAATTCCAACGCTTCTCTGTGTATTTGGCTAGAAGAATTGGTTTGTGACAAGAAAGCCTCTTGAAGATCTTTTAAACAGTGATTAGGTAGATTAAAGTGTTCCCCAACAGGTTTCTGTATGTTCCCTTTACGTATATCTGATTTGTATGCATTGATTGTTTCCTGTAGGGACTGTACAATTTGTCCAATATATATCGCAGTGGGGCACTGCTGGCATTTGATGGCATGGATCAAATTACTGGATGTGCCGTCAAATGACCTTTTGATTTGGTAGCTTATGTTGTTAATTAAGAAACAACACCTTCTCACCGTTACCTGGTTACCAGCTCTAATTTGAGAGTTCAGTATTAGGCAAGCATCTGATATTCCTTCAGCCCTCACCATGACATCTCAAGTCAATAGCAATGATTTCCTCTACTCTCATCCCATCTAGTGCCTGAGTGGAACAGAACCATAATGTTAAATTGCAACATTGTACACTTGACAATGGCCAAGAAAATCAGGTCTTGGAACAGCAAATATCAATAAATAGGTCTGCTACCATTTTGAATTAACCATTTCAATCAAAAGCAATTTGCTTAGGTGCATATCATCTTTCTTGAAATGCAGTGCCCCGAACTGGACACAGTACTCCAGCTGAGGCCTTATCAGTGCAGAGTAGAGCAGAAGAATAACTTCCCCTGTCTTACTCAGAACACACAAATAGAATAGACAAATTCAAGGGATGCGAAGCTCTTGAATGATAGGTCACATGCCCCAATTTGCATAATGCATATTAAAGTTATGCATATTTATGTCTGGACTGGCAGAAGAGTAACCTGAAGGTGTTCCTGATGTGTGGTGCGGCACAGACAATACCAGCAATCTGGGGATACAAGCGCACCTGTTCATCACTCTCCTGTAGTGCAGCAGATGACAGATGGCCAAGTTACCGTTCGTACGCCATAAGGGACAGCAAGAGTGAAAACTAAAGAGAGAAAGACTTGGGTGCAGAGTTTCCTCTAGGGGGCGCACTTGCACGGGTGTGAAGAAAGTCCCGCCCACCTCATTAGCAGAGCTGGGCAGCAGTGGGCAAGCTGGGGAAAGAGGGATTTGAGGGGGAGCACGGCTGCTTAAAAAAAAGGTCTACTCCGCAATGCTATTTCGGGATACGTATGTTTTCCTGAAAAAGCTACCTCACGTCTTGTCAGCCGACGGTCAGGGCAGTGTGTGTGTGTTTCCGAGAAAAGGTTTAACATCCGTGTCTTTACTGCTAGGACCAGGGTCCCGTCGCAGAGGGTAGCCAGCAGGCCAACAGACGCCCCTTTATAGGAAGAGCTTATTACACCTCAGATTTTAGCTGCTAGAACACAGGGGTGCCTTCGCAGCGGGCAGTCTGGGAAAGACTGAGAGGTTCCTCAACGGACCTGTTACCTGGGAGTGACACAGATCCAAACGCCCAAGCTCTTCCTATAACTGTCCCTTTTATGACTGGCTGAAGTTCTTTTAAATTGTGCTTGGTTCTATTACAGCAGCTGAAGGAGTCAGGTTAAAACTGAAACAGTTACAGGTTTATTAAAAAAACTCATAAAAGCATATGGTTACAATGGCTATTGCTCTATTTCTTAAATGCTAGCAAATATATATATAGATCTTTAAAATGGTTACAGGAAAAAGGTAAAGATAGAAAATAGAAATAATGGTACCAAGTGACAACTTAATCTCCAGGTACAATTTTTACCCCTTTCTGTGCCTCTCGACTCCAGCGTGTCAGGCCAGGGCCGGTCCCTCAATTCCTGGGAAAGATGAATACGAGGTGGGCGTCCCTTCTGGAACCTTGGGAGATCAAACACCTAACCCGACCAGCAGATAGATGGTAGATTGACACTCAGAGAAAATGTGCTGCTGGACCCATCTATATACCCCTGGGGGCCTGTATCCTCTTTCTTATCTTAAGATGCCAAATTGTACTGGTCCATTTTGTGGTGCCAGTTCTTACAAGCAAGTTTCAAGTTAATTTACACTTGCAAGAGAGATAACTAAATTGTGAGTACTAGACATTTTTTTTTACTGGGCGAGAGATTCCGCCCCCCGTGGACGGCTGTGTGTTCGTATCAATATGGGTTAAGTCAAGGGCACTCTTTGGCAGCCTCTTGGTCAGCAATTGGCGTATCTCTGTTTACAACCATTCACGGTCACACAGCAGCCTGGTCCTTCTGCTCTGTGTGCCCTGTATGCTCCAGGCAAGCAAAAATGGATGTTACAAGGGGGGTTCCTGTCTGGCTACACTTCTTCTCAATGATCTGTTTTCAAAACATTGTAGATGTGCTATTTTGCCATCCGTATGAACCTCATTCTACGTGGAGTGAGGGACAGCTCGAAATAGCTGTGTAGATGCACCCTATGTCTGTAGAAGAGAAGAGTGAGGGGGGATTTGAGAGTAGACTTCAATTTCCTGAAGTGAGGTTCCAAAGAGGCTGAAGAGAGGCTGTTCTCAGTGGTGGCAGATGCAGAACAACGAGCAATGGTCTTAAGTTGCAGTGGGGGAGGTCTAGGTTGGACATGAGGAAAATCTATTTCCCTAGGTGGGCGGGGAAGCACTGGGATGGGTTCCCCAGGAAATGGTGGAATCTCCATACCTAGAGGTGTTTAAGTCGGGCTTGACCAAGCCCTGGCTGGGATGATTGAGTTGTGTTGGTCCTGCTTTGGGCAGGGGGTTGGACTCGATGACTCTTGAGGTCTCTTCCCACCCAGGGATTCTATGATTCTATGGCTTCGTATGGTCCTATCCCACAGAGTTACACAACCAAATAACAAATCAATAGCCGAGAGGAGCACAGCACAGTTAATACCACCAAAAGGAGAAGACCCTCCCCCCCCACCTCAAGGGTTCATGAAATCCACTACAGACTTTGTTCTACTGGTTTTAGGTGTAAGTTGCTGAGCTACAACAGGAATGTGTGTGGCAGTAGAAAAACATAAAATAGATCGAGGAATGGAGTCTGATCGTATTTTCACCGTAGAACTACAGTCACTCCACTGACTTGCGTGTCCGTATTTTTGCCAATGCAAGGGCTCCTTTTGCCTGGAAAGAGATGGTGAAGCACGTTCTCGAGTTGACGCAGAAACACGGAATGAAATCACAGTCAGGAAGTGATGGGATTTTGACTCTTAGGGGCCAGCCTCCACCCCACCAGTTTCCTCAGGGCCGCTTCGATCTCCTTGCTCCTCATGCTGTAGATGACCGGATTCATCACTGGGGGAAGGATGGAGTAGAAAACAGCCACCACCAGATCCAGCCCAGGGGCTGAGCTAGAAGTGGGTTTCAGGTAGGCAAAGGTGCCAGTGGAAATAAACAAGGAGACCACGGCGAGGTGTGGGAAGCAGGTGGAGAAGGCTTTGTGCCGGCCCTGCTCCGAGGGGATTCTCAGCACCGCTCTGAAGATCTGAATGTACGACACAATTATTAACACAAAGCAGCTTAAGACTAAGCAGACACTAACTAGAAGCAGCCCATTTTCATTGGAGTAGGAACCAGGGCAGGCTAGCTTTAGGAGATGGGGAACTTCACAGAAGAACTGATCCACTCTGTTGCCTTTGCAGAAGGAGACCGCCAGTGTGCTGCCAGTATGCAGGGCAGAATTGAGAATACCAGTCATCCAGGCACTGGCCACCATGTGGACACAGCATCTCCTGGTCATCACTCTCCGATAGTGCAGCGGCTGGCAGATGGCGACGTAGCGGTCATAGGCCATGACAGGCCCTGCTCCGAGGGGATTCTCAGCACCGCTCTGAAGATCTGAATGTACGACACAATTATTAACACAAAGCAGCTTAAGACTAAGCAGACACTAACTAGAAGCAGCCCATTTTCATTGGAGTAGGAACCAGGGCAGGCTAGCTTTAGGAGATGGGGAACTTCACAGAAGAACTGATCCACTCTGTTGCCTTTGCAGAAGGAGACCGCCAGTGTGCTGCCAGTATGCAGGGCAGAATTGAGAATACCAGTCATCCAGGCACTGGCCACCATGTGGACACAGCATCTCCTGGTCATCACTCTCCGATAGTGCAGCGGCTGGCAGATGGCGACGTAGCGGTCATAGGCCATGACAGTGAGAAGGAAAAAATCTCCTCCGATGAAGAAGAGCAGGAAAAAGACTTGGGTGAAGCATCCAGAATAAGAAATCGACCTGGTGCCCAGGAGGGAGTTGGCCATCGATTTGGGGACGGTGATGGAGATGGAGCCAAGGTCCAGGATGGACAGGTTTCCCAGGAAGAAGTACATGGGGGTGTGCAGATGGTGGTCGAGGGCAATGGCTGAGATGATGAGAAGGTTCCCCACCAGGGCTGCCAGGTACATGACTAGAAACACCACAAAGTGCAAAACCTGCAGCTCCGGGATGTCCGAGAACCCCAAGAGCAGGAACTCGGTCACGGTGCTTTGATTGGACATTTTCTTCCTCAGCCCGTCGTCTCCGACCTGTGGAGGGAAGGAGAAGGGCAGTGGCAGAGGGGACCGTCCCGATTCCCCTCATGATAATACCCCCTGATGGGAATATGCCAGAAGAGCCTCGCACTCACCACTTCCTTGGGGCAGGCCTGGTGGGAGCGTCTCACTGCTGACCGTGACACCGTTAGTCCTTTGCGTTATCCCTCCAATGTCCATCAAGACACGTCTCTGAAGCCAGGAAGTTGGTTACTTGACACCATCTGAATATCTGAGCCAAGACCCAGCTGGATAAAATGTAATTAGCAGCTGGAACAAATGACAAGCCAAATCCAACAGAGCTAGCAAAGAAGGCTCCTCTCTGGTGACCACCAGCAGCCTCCCAGCCTGGGCATGGACCTGAGGGTATGTCTAGATTACATTCCTTTGCCGACAGAGGCATGTAAATTAGACTACTTGACATACTCAATGAAGTGGGGATTTAAATATCCCCCTCTTCATTAAAATAAAAATGGCCGCCGTGCTGTGCCGGCTCAGCTGATTGTCGGCACAACACGGCAGTCAAGAAGCGGATCAGTCAACAAGGGAAGCCTTTGTTGACGCATCCCTTATGAAACGAGGTTTTCAGGATCGGTTGACAAAGGCTTCCTTTGTCAACTGATCTGCGTCTTGATTGCCGTGTTGTGCCGACAATCAGCTGAGCCGGCACAGCACGGCGGCCATTTTTATTTTAATGAAGCTGGGGATATTTAAATCCCCGCTTCATTGACTATGTCGGGTTGTCTAATTTACATGCCTCTGTCAGCAGAGGCATGTAGTCTAGACATACCTGAGATTCTCACCCACCTGCCCAGCTCCATTCCCATTTTCCGGGGAAATGCAGCATGGACTCACCAACGATGGCTGGGGTGCTTCCTCCCCCAGCGCCATGCAGACCGACTTGATCTCTGGTCACACATTGATTTATGGCCCCCAGGGCCAGTTAGAACATAAGAACTTAAGAACGGCCAGATTGGGGCAAACCAAAGACCCATCTAGCCCAGTGTCCTGTCTGCCCACAGTGGCCAATGCCAGATGCCTCAGAGAAAAGGGACACAATAGGTAATCCTCACGGGATCCCTCTCCTGTCACCCATTTCCAGATAAACAGAGGCGAGGGACACCATTCCTACCCATCCTGGCTGATAGTCACTGATGGACCTGTCCTCCATGTATCTAGCTCTCTTTTGGATCCTGTTAAACTCCTAGGCTGTGTCTAAACTACATGGCTCTGTCGATGGAGCCATGTAGATTAGGCTGATCGGCAGAGGGAAATGAAGCCGCGATTATTTAAATCCGCCGATCAGCCCAATCTACATGGCTCCATCGACGGAGCCATGTGGTTTAGATACAACCCTAGTCTTCACAACATCCTCTGGCAAATTGACTGTGCGTTAAGTGAAAAAAAACGTACTTGTGTTTGTTTTAAACTTGCTGCCTGTTAATTTCATTGGGTCACCCTTGGTTCTTCTATATCCTACTCTGTCACAGCTATGTGAAGGCGGGTTAGGAGCCTTGGTCCTTCACTGCTGTGTTGTGAGAATTTCCTCTGTGACTTTAGGTCTGTGCTGTGTGAGTCAGTGACAGTTGGGAGACATGGGCTCTATTCTTATCTCTGCCACTGAGCTACTACATGACCTTGGACCAGTCACGTCACCTCCCTGTGCCTCTGTTTCCCCTCCCTTCCTTTCTCCAGCTTGTCTGCCAGGGTAAGGAGATCTGTAAGAAATGAGCTGCGTCTTATTCTGTGTATGGTCAGTGCACCGATTTATGGCAGTAGACGGGTTAGTCCAGCTGTGGTCATCCATGTCCACCCATCCTTCATGTCAGGATAGAGAGGTTCGGTTGCTGGGCTCAAGCCCAAACCCAGGTTTAAAGGTCCGAGTCTGTAGAAACCATGTTCTGTTAGTAGCAGCTTTGCCATTTACTCAGTTTCAATTTCTTTTGAACCAGAAATCCAAACTGGGGCAAAAGAAACAGGGGGTTTCCAGTTCTGTTATCAGTGGAAAACAGTTAAGTTCCCCACCCATGTTTAAAGTGCACATCTACTTGGGAATTTTCTGTTCTTGGGTTGGTTTTCTGGAAGGAAAATTAGTTGTTTTAGCAAAACAATATTTTTTTCTCACACTCCGGCTGCTGTTTGCCTCAACAACCTGGGAGGTTTAGTTGAAAAGCTGAACCTTCAAAAATCAACCTTGTATGTGGTTTTCAACTTACACTTTTTAAAGCTAAAAGCAAACAACAACAACAAAAATGAGGTTTGAAGTTTTTGATGAAATGTTGAAATTGGCCACACTGCGATTTTTTTTCTGATGATCTTTAGTTGTAATTGAACAGTTAAATCATTAATGATTTTGGATAAAACAATGCTGATCATAGAATCCTAGGGCTGGCAGAGACCTCAGGAGTCACCGAGTCCAGCCCCCTGCCCAAAGCAGGACCAACCCAACTCAATCATCCCAGACAGGCCTTGGTCAAGCCGGGACTTGTCCTAATCTCCAACCTAGACCTCCCCCACTGCAGCTTGAGCCCATTGCTCCTTGTTCTTCAACCTGCCCCCACTGAGAACAGCCTCTCTCCATCCTCTCTGGAACCCCCGTTCAGGAAGTTGAAGGCTGCTCTCAAATCCCCCCTCGCTCTTCTCTTCTGCAGACTAAACAAACCCAAATCCCACATCCTCTCATCGTAGGTCATGTGCTCCAGCCCCTGAATCATTTTGGTTGCCTTCTGGTGGACCCTCTCCAATGTGTCCACATCCTTTCTGTAATGGGGAACCCAGAACTGGACCCAACACTCCAGAAGGGTAACTGTAGAAGACTGGAGCCTTTGATTCTGCATTAAATGCATATGTAGGTGAAGAAACAGACTTGTCTGTACATTCTACCCTTGAGGAGCCTGGTTCAAGGTGACAGGAATCTACTCTTCCCACTGTCTCTGGGCAGCTGAGTTAGAAAACCGAGCATCTCTTTCCTGCTGCACCGGTCCCATCCTGCCTCCCTGCAACTTGAGACTTCCATCTGCTCTGTGTGAGCAAGTTTCCTAGCTGGGAAGCTTCCTAGCTAGCATGCTATCTATCTATCTATCTATCTATCTATCTATCTATCTATCCCCACACCCCCCTCTATCTATCCCCACACACCCCCTCTATCTATCTATCTATCTATCTATCTATCTATCTATCTATCTATCTATCTATCTATCTATCTATCTATCTATCTATCTGCCAAAGACACAGGGATATGAGTCTTTTGATCCCTCACGTGGAGACTGACCTCACATCCATCCGTTGCTCTCTACAGCGGGGTCGTGTGGGGCTGGCTCGTGGTGCCGCTGGCAGTGTAGGACTGCTGCTGTGGGAAGGCAGTTTATCCGCGATTTTCCTGTGGGCTTGTGGGTCTCCCTCCCGGGAGCCGTACATAGCTCAGACACAAAAGCCCAGAAGCAGAAGTTAGAGGGTTTGTCATATTCAGGTCAAAGCGAGACACTCTCGTCCGCTTGCCTGGGACTTACGCAGCCTGGACCCTCGGATCCCCCCCGGGCTTCCTGCCCCCAGGCTGTTTATTGTGGGACTGGATTTACCATGGGATGGGAGCCCCTAGAGATGGAGACAGGCGTCTAATGGGTCTTATCCACGCACCGAAATCAGAGGGGTAGCTAAACCCCTGGGACAGTCAACCGAAGTCAGGCACAATCGTCCCACCTCCCTCCCCCAGTGGACACCCTTTGACTGGGGAGCGGAGAGGATTGGGGGGCCCTGCTTCCCCCTCCAGTCTGTGGGCACCTGACTGCTCCTATGGGGAGGGGAGGAAGTGGTCTGCTGCTCTTCTAGCCCCATGGCACTGCCTAAGGCTCTCTTTGTGGGCCCCTCCCCCTCCACACCAACTCTGCCTAGGGCACAAGGTCCAGGGGGGCACAGCCCCATGCCTGGCCCCAGAGGGTCTGAGCCCAGCCCTGAGAGTGGGGGAAGTTAGGTGCCCTAGGAAAAGGGGGGGCTGGGCCGAGTGGAGGGGCTAACCACAGTGTGTGGGGGGGAGTAAGGGCGCTGGCCCGTGGGCGAGGCAGGAGGGGCTCTAGGCCGGAGTGTAAAAGAATTAGAAAAGGAAATCCAAAGGAAAAAGCGCCACAAATGATCTCTAAGAGCGAACTCCGGCTGGGTGCGAATCCATGGGACTGGTGCGCCCACTCGTACAGGCCTGGGGCTGGACTCAGTGGCCTCCTTCAGTTTCCCCCCAACCCGGGATTCCATCATCCTATGTGACAAGAGAGAAACTTCAGAGACGGCAGCCAGCTGTGGGTTCTGCCCCCCAATAGGCTGCTCAGAGAGCGGCCTGTTTAGTTTCTCCCAAGTATTTATTGTGATGTAAAAATGGCTTTTCTCCTGGAACCCCAACCCGGTGGGATTTTGAAATTTCCCCAATATCCTCATCCGTGAAAACTGAAGGAAAGAATCCACTATGATGTTATCATCTTTGAGGGCTCCTTTAGCATCTCCATCGTCCAGGGGTCCCACTGGTTGTTTCGCTATTTTCCCGCTTCTGATGTAGTTTAAGAAAGCATTGTACCACTACTTCTTGAGTTTTTGGCTAGCTGCTCTTCCAACTCTCTTTTGGCTTTTCCTGTTATATTTTTACACTTAATTTGACAAAGATTATGCCCCTTTCTGTTTTCCTCACTAGGATTTGATTCCACTTTGTAAACGATGCCTTTTTATCTCTCACTGCTTCTTTTATTTGTTTGTCAAGCCACGGTGGCTCTTTTTGTGGTTCCTTTATATGTGGTTTATTTTTTAATTTGGGGTATGCGTTTCAGTTGGGCCTCTATTATGGTGTCTTTGAAAAGTTTCCATGCAGCTTGCAGAGATTTTACTTTTGTCACTGTACCTTTTAATTTCTGTTTTACTAACCTCCTCATTTGTGTGTACCGTATTCTAGTGAATATAACCCATGGGCTATACTTGTGTGTGGGGTATACAGTTTTTTTTAAACTCAGAAAGCAAAAACCGCGGGGTATATTCGGGTGCAGGGTATATTTGGGTGTGGGGTATATTCGCTAAAATACGGTAGTCCCCCTTTCAGAAATTAGATGCCATGGCATTGGGCTGCTGAGGTGTTTTTCCTACTGCAGGGATGTTAAACTTTATCACACGATGGTCACTATTTCCAAGTGGTTCTGTTATAGTTACTTCTTGGACCAGATCCTGCACTCCACTTAGGACTGAATCAAGAATAACCTCTCCCCTTGTGATGAGGAGTAACTAACATGGCTACCCCTCTGATACTTTCCTTTTGTGGGTCCCAGAACCAGCTGCTCCAAGAAGCAGCCATTTAAGGTATCAAGAAATTTTATCTCTGCTTCCCGTCCTGAGGTGATGTGTCCCCAGTCAATATGGGGCTAGTTGAAATCTCCTACAATTACTGAGTTTTGTATTTTGATAGCCTCGCTAATCTCCCTTGGCATTTCATAGTTACTATCATTGTCCTGGTCAGGTGGTCAGTCATATATCCCTGCTGCTAGATTCGTATTAGAGCATGGAATTACTATCCACAGAGATTCTATGGGACAGTTTGGTTCATTTAAAGTTTTTACTTCATTGTCCCAGCGAGGGACGCCACCTCAGGAAATGCATGAAAATTCTCTCTAGTTTTAACATGAGCACTGAGATTTGCAATGGGAATTTTCAACTTAATTTCAATGGGCTTTGCTCCTCCTCCCCCTGTACCTGATTACCTCTCGTCACTGTGAAAACCTCACAATTAAAGGCCAGATTTTCAAAGGTATCCCGGCAGGATGAATTAGTTGATCACCATTTGGTTTCCACTTTCTGTGTCTGCCATGAGCTGAGACTAGGAACAAATTACATTGGAATCAGAACGTAGAACTAATTTAATCAGG